GATATTTCCAATCACCTTGTATGCATGTGAGAGCTGGACAATGAATAGGGAAGACCGAAGAAGAGTTGATGCTTTTGAGTTGTGGTGCTGGCGAAGAATGCTGAAAGTACCATGGACTGCTAAAAGAACTAACAGATCTGTCCTGGAGGAAGTGCAGCCAGAATGCTCCTTGGAAGCAAGAACGGCCAGACTTCGTCTCACCTATTTTGGTCATGTTGTAAGAAGGGACCATTCCCTGGAGAAGGATGTCATGCTTGGTAGGGTGGAGGGTCGACGAAAGAGGGGGAGGCCTTCAACGAGATGGATTGATACAGTGGCTGCGATGATGGGCTCGAGTATAGCAGGGATTGTGGGGCTGGTGCGGGATCGGGCAGTGTTTCGTTCTGCTGTGCATGGGGTTGCTATGAGTCGGAAACGACTCGACGGCACTTAACAACAACAACAACAACAATCTTTACAGAAGAAGACTGCCACATCTTTCTCCCACAGAGCAGCTGGTGGGTTTGAACAGCTGACGTTTCAGTCGGCAGCCAAGCACTTAACTACTGTGCCACCAGGGCTCCTTGGAAGTTTCCCCAGTGCCCTCAAATTAGTTAAGTGCTGCTCAGATGTGCTCTTATAATTTCATTACAGTCTTTTATCCAATAGCATATTCATTGATTCTTAGTTCCCTGGCTTCCTGCTGGCAGGTGAGCTCTGTATGACAGAGACCTAGAACTATGGCTCCCAACACCTAGCACTGTTTTGTGTGGATAGAGGCAAGATGAGACAAGCCAGCTCTCTGTATGAACAAAATAGGGCAAGGTAAAGGAAACCTCGTGGAAAGGGGTCACTTTTGTGGCTCCCATGTGCACTGAGCCTGGCCACTTACCTCTCCCCCTCCTGCATAGTAAAGCAACATGCTCAGGAAATTGAGAGGAGGTTGGGTCAAGGCACTTACTACCTCAGGCAAGATGACAGCTGTGTGGGGCCTAAGAAGTCTGAGACTCTAAGAAGCCCATGCCAGCCCTGGTTCCATCTCCAATTAGACCTAGTTTTCACCAAAGACCTAAGAGAACAGGTGCAGGGCCACATTCAATTAGGCAAATACTGAGTAAGTGTAAGGTGCAGGGGAGAAGGACGGCACTCTGAGCAGAATCTGGCAAGATCTTGTCCTTAGAGGGTATCCAATCTAGTAAGAGAGTCTGGTTCCTAGGCAACAATTGACTAGCAGAGTGCAAGATCGCAAGGTGTAGTGTCCAGGTTAGAAGCCCGGACTCTGGAGTCAGAGTCTTGGGTTCTGCTCCCAGCTCTGCCACTGACTCACTGTGTGACTTTGACAAGTTGCTTCCCCTCTCTGAACCTCAGCTTCTTCATCTGCGAAACGGGGACCATCATAACACCTTATCTCATATCTGTAAAGATTTGTTGCCATTATAACGTGAAAGTATAAATTGTGAGAGGAAAAAAAAGCAAGAAAGGTCCCAAAATGAGAATGCACGCCGCCTGGACCCTGTGTTGCAGAGGCTTTCACTGTGGATCTAGAAAAATGCAAACAAGTATCTCACACCTGGAATGGGACTGGAGTCTGGGCACTGAAGAGATGCATGTCACTGAGGAGGATGGGTGGCTGTCCAACACTAAGGGGAGCTGGACCCCAAACATGTTAAGGTGCTGGGTCCCATGCAGGCCTTTTCCCATGGAAGTGGGTCCTTGTGGCTGAGATAGCTAGTCCCCAGCAAATGTCCACATGCTCCCCCTAGTTTCCCAGCCTCCTTGGTTGGAGTCACAGTTGGAGCTGTCTGACTGGTTCTGGACAGCGATGTATGCCAGTTTTGAGCTGAGTCAGTTAAGGTGATGGGCCTTCTCCATCTCTCTCTTCCCCTGCCGTGGTGCCTCTGATGGCCACACGTTCCAGTGGCATAGCTATAAAATTGAGGAGGGCCACCAGACCTTTGTAAGACTTCGAGAGAGAACTCAAACTCTATTGTGTCCAACCACTGAAATTTGCAGGTGTTTGTAGAGGCAGCTGATGGTAATTTCTCTGATGAACACAGAGCAACTGTTATTTTTCTGCAGGCCGTGGCAGTTGTCCATGGTCACACAGCTCACAATGGGCAGAGTGGGAACTCAAACCTGGGACTGACTCGTGTGGCTGGTTTGAGACTCATTCCTTCACCTCATGATGGCCTGTTCCCAACCATTACTATAACATCTGAAATCTTTGTAAGAGCACCCAGCAGAAACAGAGCCAGAAGACAACTGGAATAGTCAGAACACTTAGCAAATCAGGTGTGAGGTCCTGCCACCCTGGATTGCACCCTGAACAGTGTGTTTTGCCAATTTCACTTCTGCCAATGATGATTCTTCATCATAAGCAACGTGCAACGAAGAAATGATGACAGCAGCTTCCCCGATTCACAGAGAATTTTAACTGGTGTTCTGGTTACCTGGTGCTGCTCTGACAAGAATATACCACAAATGGGATGGCCTTAACAAACAGGAGTTTATTCTTTAACAGTTTGGAGGTTTTAAGTCCAAGTTCAAAGTGCCAGGCTCTAGGGGCTGGGTGAAAGCTCCCTGACCTTGGGGTCCAGCTCTGCCTCCTGCTCCCAGCCCACTGGAGCTAGAGGCATTTCTTCACTCAGACAGCTGTTGGCTGCTGAGGCTGCCAAGCCCAAGGTTGACAAATAAAAAGGCACAGTCCCAATGTTACCAAACCACACGGGAGGCCATTAATTTAAGTCCATTGTAAGTCCCAAGGTCGGCAGAGCATGGCAGGCTGCTGAACCACAACATGACTACATGCAAGGTCAAGTGTGCCTGCCATAAGCTAGAGACCATGCCCAAAGCTGCTGCTTATACACAGGAAGCAGACCACATAACCAAAGGCAGCTACTCAGCTGCTCGCAGTAGATTCCATCATGGAGTTGATTACCAGTCTCATCAGGGGTATACATCCAGCTGCCCAGCCACTCAACCAGGCCTAGCCAAGTTGACCCAAAAAACAATCACCACACTTGGGAACTGGAACCCTCAATCTACACATTGATGTACAAGGGAAGAATTCCTTTCAATGATGCCCTTGTTCACTCTCAATTCTTGCCTGTTTCTCCCCTAACCCAGAAATGCAGTACTATTGCAGAGCATAATCTTCAGAATTAGACTTGGCTCAAATCCCTGTTATGCCATTTATTGGCTGTGTGACCTTCGGTAAGTCACTTTGCCTCTCTGAGGATCATTGTCCTCATCTATAAAGTAAGGATGGTAATACTATTCCAGGAGCCCTGGTGGTGCAGTACTTAAGCGCTCAGCTGCTAACTGAAAGGTCAGCGGGTTGAACCCACCAGACACTCTGTGGGACAAAGATGTGGCAGTCTTCTACCATAAAGATTTACAGCCGTGGAAACCCTATGGGGCAGTTCTACCCCTGTCCTATAGTATCGCTATGAGTCAGAATCAATGCAACAGCCATGGGTTTGGGTTTGGGAATACTAATTCCACATAGGATTTTTGTATGTGGTGAAAATATACACAACAAAACTTTCACAAATTCCACAATTTCTCCATGTACATTTCAGTGATGTTGGTTACATTCTTCATGTTGGGCAACGTTTGTCATGGATGGTTTGAAGCATTAGAGACAATGGGTGGAAGGCCTGGAAGGTGTGGAATCACCTTGCAGAAAGCAATATGGTCCTTGTTCTCAGGTGTTTCTTCTCAGTTCAGCTGTACCTGCACCTGAGGCTAATGAATGGGGGCTGGCATGACGGAATCTATCATGGCCACGGTGGGGAGGCCCAAAAGAGCCCCTTTGGAACTTGGAAGCTCTGCGCTGTGACTCCTCCCAGACCTCACCTTATGTGTCTCTTTATATTCTTTGTGGTTGTAATAAAGTCACAGCCTAAAGTATACTGAGATTCTGTTACTCCAGCAAAGGAATGAACACACAGGGGTAGTATGAGGCAGTGGGGGCTCGGGTCTGCCTGTTTGGCAGTCTGAAAGGTGTCTTTCTAACGTGTGAGCTCTGACATCACTCTGGGTGGTTAGGGTCCAAAAGATGCTGCAGGGGCAGCTCTTCTGCAAGATGGTGCTATGGCTGAATATGTCGCCCATGGGTTGGAATCAAACCCCGTTACCTGTCAATGCGATCCCATTTGGGAAAGGGTTTCTTTGTTACGTTAATGAGACTCTATCAGCAAAGGGTATGTCTTAAACCTAATCACTTTTGAGATATAAAAACAGAATACACATAAAGACAAGGAAGCACCAAAGGGGGGATAGATGCCACTTGGAGATCTCCAGGGACACTGAGGAGCAAGCCAGAGCTGAGACAAACATTCTTCTCCAGAGTAGGCAGAGCCAGCCTTTCCCTAGAGCTAGTGCTCTGAATTTGGACTTCTAGCCACCTAAGCTGTGAGGAAATAAATTTGTTAAGGACACCCACTTGTGGCATTTCTGTTATAGCAGCACTAGAGAACTCAGCCAGCCAGTGTCCATCTAACTAGTAGGCTCTGCCCAGCTCTGGTTGGCTAGGGTTTGAGAGAAGTAGCCCCTTGGGCAGCTGGCAACAAGGATAGAAAGTGGGAGGGTGAGGACTGGGGACTGGATCCATGCTGAGCCTCACCACAAAGTTAGCAAGGAAGGTGGGATTTACCAACTTTGCTCCTTGTTTAGTGCAGGCTCCATGCATGGCACATGTAAGCTGGTTATAACCCAGAAAAGGTTCTCTTTCTCCTGATAGGATTAGGGAGTTGTCAGTGGGGAGGGGATTCATGCATAGACTGACACCAAGATCGCTCATGTATTTATTTATTTATAAATAGGATACATATACCCGTACACTCCTTCCTCCCTGCTCCCCTCCCAACTCATTCCCAGCTGTCTAGAAGGCGGCTTCTGACATTTTCTCTCTTCTCTCAGGAAACCCTGCAGGTGCCTGGATGGGTTCTCACTGCTTCTCATATTCACGCCTGCCTGTCCCAGTTGGTCATGAACAAGGGGCTCTAAGCCCTCTCTGCTCAGTCATTCACATCTAGATCAAATTCTGGATATAACTCTTTGGTGGTGACACCTCGGATAATTGCTGAAAGAAAGGAAGAAAGAATAGATATTCAGTGGGGAAGAAAAAGGAGGGAATGTGGCCACTGTCCCCAGTGTCACTGCCCTGACCAACCCATGACCAACATTTGTTGCTTCAAGTCAGTGCCCACATGTATACCTTCTTCTTTCTCCTCTAGTTGGATAACTTCCTTGCTACTCCTTACAGGCCTCTCCCTGCCTGGCCACCCATGTACAGCTTACGTCTGAGTTCCCCCATGCGCCAGGCACTGTATTCCACACTTGACCTGCAAGAACTCACTAAACCCTCACCTCATTTTGCAGGAGAGTGAGATGTAGCTCCCCTATGATCCATTCTGCACCTAGAATGGCTAAAGTCATCTGCCTAAAATAAAAACTGGATTTCATCCCAACACTGAAAAACCTTGATTCCTTAGCATGCTCATGTGCCAAGCCCTGGCATTCAGAGCTTCTGGGGTGCTGTTCCCCCTGCCATTCTCCTTCAAACATCACACCTCCCTCCCTCTCCCCATGGGAAGAGTTCTCAGAGGCCTTCCCTGATCACTTTATTGCACCCCGCCACCCTGTTCATACCTCCACTTCTTCCCTGTTTCCTTCATAGCACCCAACACATTTTATAATTGTTTGTGCTCATTTACTTATGGCCCATCTACACCCCCACTCCCACCACTAAAGTGTCTCCAGCACTGTAGAGTGCCTGGCACAGAGTGAATGCTCAGTAAGTATTCACTGATAAATGAAAGATGTGAGGTTACCTACTCCAGGGCATATGACCTGGAAGTGATGGTCTCCAGCTGGGTTCTAACAACCAAATGTATGTTCTTAACCACTAGGCTACACTTTTCTCACACTCCTTTCTCCTTGGGCCCTGGTCACCCTCTTCTCTTCATCCATCTATGTTTCTCTCCTTCTGATTTTTTCCTCCTCCTCTTGGACCCATTCTTCAGTGAAACAGAAGAATCCATAGAATCCTGCATGTTGATAGGCATGTCTGGGATGACTGCTAAAATAAACATAGCAACTGGGCAAATAGCCCCACCTAAGCACATTATCCCAAACGACTACTGACCTCTGAACATCAGTGTCCACCAATCTGAGCCAGTTGATGGGACTGAAAGGTTCTTATGAGGCCATCTACACAGTTCCTTACCTCTGGGGTAGGCTGGCTGGGTATCTGTGCCTGGGTTTAAACCCTGTACATGGTGAGATTTTTGTTCAAATACCATTTTGAGCCACAAAGGGCCACACTCGCATTTCCTGCCTCTTTTACAAGCTAGCCTCTTGAGGCGAGGATGGGTCTCAAGCATGCTGGGTAAGCCCATGCTCAGACCTCAGTTTGCAGCTCCAGAGCAGGCACTGTGCTTGGGAAAAGTGACCCAGGAACTCAGGTAAGAGCTGTACAAACTGCTGATCTGAGTGGCCAAGGAGGGCAGGGTGAGGAGTGACAGGGCATGCAGGGAGTGTGGCAGCTGAAAAGGATGGGAGGGTTGGCAGGTGAAAAGGCCCAAGAGCAGAATCTACTCATCCCTTGGGGGTGGGGACTCCCTCCAAGCCCAGGTCGCTCCTCTGGGATCCTGCTGCTCACCTAGTTTGCCCAGCAGCATCTGGCCTACATCCTTGATGTCATTGTACTCGTGGAGCTGGGAGATGTGGTCCTCCAGTTCATCCACACTGTAGCCTCTGCGGAGAGGGACGGAGTGAGAGGGAGAGACATCCCTTAAGAAAGTGGATAATGACCTAAGGCTCAGATAGTAATGAGGGATCTGTTTAACAAATATTCCCTAGGGGTCTACTAGGTGCTAGGCACTGGGGATATAGTAATGACAAGACCCTGCCCTCATGAAGCTTACGGTAGGGCAGGGTACCTGCCTAGCCTGTCATTCCTGATAGATGCTTCCTGTACCCTTAGTTGTCTCCAGAAATATTGTTACAATGTGACCCTGACACAGCTGAGTGACTCATAGATGGGCACATGATTCCCACAAATGTGAAGTGCAGATTCAGACTGCTCAGTTTCTACCAGGTGGCTGGAGCAAGGTGTATGGGAAAATCCAAGTTCGGACACTGAAAACCACACCTGTAGAGGAAGAATGTGTGCAGACAGGGCAGAGAACATGGGCCCCACAGAGACCAGGAGAGTGACTACCTCATTCATAATAGCTTTCTAGTTCCTGGTTCTAGGCCAGCCCCAACCACCACCACCAAGAGCCTCCCTGTCCAAGAGGCTGAGGAGACACCCTTAGTGTAGTGACATAATCCTGTTTTTATGTTAAACTAGTATTAGTTTTGGTCACTGGGTGCTAATCAAAAGTTATCTTAACCATGTCAAGGAACCCAACGAGACATACTCAGATACTAATTGGGAGATCTCCTTGTCCAGCATGTCCCTCTTCTCCTTCAGTTTCTGAATGTCAAGCTGCTGAGAATCCTCAATGGCCCCATCAGCCTGGCCAGACTTGGGAGATGGCCGCTGAATGGCAGAAAAAGTCATTAGCCAGACTAACCAATTATCCACAATTCAGAGACTACAAGTTATTTCCTAATACCTCCTCTCTCCTTCTGCCTTGGTAACAGGTAGTGCCTTCCCTTCAAATAAGGCATTTCCCAACCTCCCTTGGAATTAGGTATGACCCTATGACTAAGCCCTGGCAGATGGAATATAATCAGAAAGAGTGCCACTCTGAGAACTATCCTTCAAGGAGACAGCGTGCCTTCTTCTGGTCCTTCCTCCTTTCTGGTATGTGGGTGTCATGCTGGAGTTGAACAGCTATCTTGGATGATGAAGTAACAGTGACATGTTGAGAGAAGTGGCAGAACGAGATAGAAGCCTGGTTCCCTGATGACTGTTTAAGCCACTGTTATTTTGAGTTTTCTTTTGCTCAGGCAAACCCAATCCTAATAGGCTCACCCTGGTCCCCAATCTGACCCAAAAGAATCTGCTTCAGGGGCTTCTTTCTGGGCTCTGCTCTCAACTTGGCTATGTCACTCATTAGAAAACAAAACACTTCCTTGGGGCTACAGCTCATCTTTGCCCTTCCCAACTCTAACAGCTACAAAGGCCAGTGCCCGGTACACGACTAACGTTCAGGAAATGTGTGTTGGATGAACTCTTTAGGTGTGATAAACAAGAAGAGATCAAGGAAGACTTGGTTCTTGTTCTTAGGCCAGTGCTTTTCAGCCAGTCAACAGGTAGTGACTGAAGACTACCTGCCAGAAACTGGGATAGGCCCTCAGCTCAGCAATGCACAAATGTCCAGCCTGGCCCCTGCCTTCGTGGAATGGATAGCCCAGTCTCAAATACAAAGCACCCAATTATGTGCCTCCCTCAGCTATCTCCAATTTTCATTAAGCTCTGCTCATGTTACCTCATAGAAAGGCCTTCCCTGAATATCCTAAAATGGTAACTCCTCAAACACTCCCTGTCCCTTAGCCTTCATTTTTTATACCATTCATGACTACCCAAGGAGCCCTGGCGATGCAGTGGTTAAAGTGCTCAGCTGCTAACCAAAAGGTTAGTGGTTCAAACCCACCAGCTATATGGCAGTCTATTTCCACAAAGATTTACAGCCCTGGAAACGTAATGTGGCAGTGCTATTCTATCCTATAGGGTCGCTATGAGTTTGAATCAGCTCGACGGCAGTGGGTTTTGGTTTATCACTACCTGATACACATTTCACTATTGTTACTATTTCTGCCTTACTGAACCATGAGGGCAGGGACTTTGTTTTGTTCACCAATGATTTCAGTGTCTACAACAGCACCCAACACATAGTAGGCATTCAATATTTGTCAAATGAATAGGTGAATGAAAAATAACTAAGCAACTACAAGTGTGAAAAGTGCTTTGAAGTTGCTATATAGGATGCTAAAACCAAAAACCAAAGCCACTGCCATCAAGCTGATTCTGACTCATAGTGACCCCCATTGGGTATCCAAAGCTGTAAATCTTTATGGAAGTAATTGCCTCATCTTCCTCCTGCAGAGTAGCTGGTGGGTTTGAACCGCTGATGTTCTGGTTATCAGCCAAAAGCCTTACTTACTGTGTTACCAGAGCTCGTAAGGGAGTATATAAAAGGGCAACCTCTCTCTCTACTGAGAGAAGGCTTCTCTGAGAAGCTGAACCCTAAAGGATGAGCAGGCATTAGATTGGCAAAAAGACAGAAGAAAGTATTCTTCTAAGGAGACAGGAGATCCAAAGACCCTAAGGCAAGAGAGAGAGCAATGTGTTTTGGGAATGAGCATGTTTCAGCAGGGTGGAATGGGATAAGTGAGGGGTTAGTGGTGTGAAAAAGAATAATTATAATAAATTGTGGTGCTTGTTAGAAAAGAGGAGAGACACCAACCACTTTGAGATCCTGGAATGCCACTGACAGACATGAGGATAGCTGGAGAGGGCATTGGTTTATGGTTCTGGTTAAGATGCAGACTGTGGTTTCAGACTTGGTAAGTGGGAAGGCAGAGATATCCTGCAGGCAAGTGCATGTGTCCAAAGAGAGGCCAGGGCTGAAGAGAGAGATGGGAGAGTCACCTGCATTGAGATGAGATGAAGGCATAGGAGTGAGGTCTTTGAGGGAGTGTGTAACAGCAGAACAACAGAGGGAGGATGGCAGAACCATGAGGAAATGCCCATATTTATATAAAGAGCAGCCGGAGGCAGGGCAGCCAGCCAAGTGGAAAAAGAAAACTGATGAAGGACATCAAGAAAATGGACCTTCAAAGAGGCCCAAAGAGAGAAAGCAGAGGGTCCCATCTAAGAGCTCAGGCTCTGGACTGAGACTGCTTCAGTTCATACCCCCAGCTCTGCCACTCTCTGACTGTGAGACTCTTAAGTTCTCTGAAAATCAGAGTCCTCAAGTATAAAATGGGGATGATAACAGCACTTGCTTCAAAGGTTGTTGGCAGGATTTAAAGAGATTATGTAAGTAAAGCAAGCTGATTGGGACAAAGTAAATGCTCAATAAAGATATGTTAAAATACCCTAAAGAAGCGAGAGCCATGACAAGAACGGATATATGCACACCCATGTTCATCGCAGCACTATTTACAATAGCCAAACGATGGAAACTACCTAGGTGTCCATCAACTGAGGAATGGATAACTAAACTATGGTACATACATACAATGGAATACTATGCAACACTAAAGAATAATGTAGAATCTGCAAAACACAGCATAACGTGGATGAACTTGGAGGACATTATGCTGAGGGAAATAAGTCAATCACAAAAGGACAAATATTGAATTAGTCCATTATTATAAAAGTTAAGGAAAGGTTTATCTATAGAAGGAAATTTTCTTTGTTGGTTACCAGGGGTGGGAGGGGAGGAGGGAGAACACTGTTAGATAGATAGAGATAAGTATTGATTTAGGTGAAGAGAAGGGCAATGTACCAAATGTGAGTGACCAATATGGCATCATTGAGGATGAGAAAGACATAGAGAGGTACATGGGAAGTACAGACAACAAAGATGAACCCTTTTGCACCATACAGTACTGTGTTGTCAGTGAAGGCAAACATGGATATATGGGTAGACAGGCTGAACTATTAGGTATGTCTATGAAATGGCTAAGGCACTTGACTGCTAACCAGAGCTGATGGTTCAAACCCACCAGCCACTCCTCGGAAGGAAGATGGGGCAATCTACTTCCGTAGTGATATTGCCTCGGAAACCCAAGGAGGGGTCGCTATGAGTTGGGGCCAACTTGACGGCACATAACAACAATGAAATGGGGAGTGTATCCAAGAACATGTATAGGGTTGGAAGACAATGGTCCTATAAGTTTATGTGAATGATCTGAATTCCCAGTGTATAGTACAGCTGCCAAGGGGCAAGGTTGTAGTCACTGCTTGGTCACAGCCAGCTACCCAGAGGGACCGAGTAGTTGAACCTGTGGGTTTGGGACCATAGTCGCAGGGGACATCAAGCTCAATTGGCATAACATACCATACAAAACATTGTTTCACCTCCTACTTTGGCGAGTAGCAACTGGGATCTTAAAAGCTAGCAAGCTGCCATCTAGATGCAACGATGGGTCTCTCCTCGTCCAGAGCAAAGAAGAATGCAGAAAACCAAAATTCATGGAAACAATTAGTCCTAGCATCTGGTACACCATCCGATGTGCAGCCTATATGACTATGAGACCAGAAGAACTAGATGGTGCCTGGCTACCACTGTCATCCATTTGGAAGGGGATCTATGTAGGAGACCTTGATAGAGAGGGAGAACAATATGGAACAAAACTCAAAATCATTTGGAGGAAAAAAAAAAGGGGGGGACCAGGTTTGCTGGTCCAATGGAACCTGGCGGAACCACTGGGACTATGGCCTCTAGCTGCCTTCAGGTCTGGAATTGAACCCACACCCGTGGTTTTCCAGCCAAACAAAAGACAGGCATATGAGTTGAACATTTACCTCAGGTAGATACACTCCTTGGAGAGAACAATCATGGGAGAAAGAAGGGCTGCTTATGCACAGGGAGACAGATCAAGAGGGCAGGAGTGTATGGAGGGATGGACACTGGGAAGAGGTAACTATGGGGAGGAAGTGGGAGGGAAGCTGTTGAATTGTGGTAAACTGTGGTCAGACCATGAGACAAAGTGTATATGAACTGCTGTATGGAAAGTGAATCTGCTCTGTAAATCTTCACCCAAATCACAATTTAAAAAAAAAGGAATGAATGAATCAATATGAGTAAGAACAGCATGCTGGGTAGTCAAGAATCATCGGAAAACAAAGACAAACTGAATTTCTGTCAGAAAGCAACACCAATGTACCCTCAGCAAGAAACTCAATCAACCCAGTGCTTCTGGCAAGCTCATGCTCTTCCAAGTCGTCTGGGCCTCGCCCCAACCTCATCACCTTTGGCGTGCTTCACTGCACCCCTAAGTTGGGGCTACCCCTCACAGAATGTCAGAATGTCCGGAATTTTGTCTGTGCATCCTCTTCAGGCTGTGGCTGCAGGAGGGCAGGGCTTGTCTGGCACACACCTGTGACCTGGTGCCCAGCTTGGAGCAGCTGCTTAACAAATGAACACCAAGTCTTTCCCCATCTAACTTGAAAGTGGTGATAACCCCAGAGGGAGGGGGAAGAAGGAAGAGGAGACCACGTTTTTAATGTAGTCTGCCACAATAAAGATGATCAGTACTAAAGGACTTGACAAGAGTCAACACAACGTTTTCCCCACTGGCGAGTTCTGGGACTGTTTAAAGGCAGGGCTGGGCTCCGCTGCATTCAGCCGCCGCCACTGAGCACACGGACTGGGAATGCGGACCCCACCAGTTTGCACCTCACTTGCGTCTTCCACAACCGTGTCTGACAAACTCGGTACGGGTGAGATTGAGAAATTCGATAAATCGAAATTGAAGACAGACACGCAAGAAAACAATCCAAGGCCTTCAACAGAAACCACTGAACAAGAAAAGCAAGCCCGCGAATCATAATGAGGTGGCGCTGCCAATATCCACTGTACATCCCCAAAGCATCTCCTTACTTTCCTTCTGCCTGTTCGGCATTGTAAGATGCAAAGAGAATGGATCAAGTTTAAATGACCGCTCCGCCCCTTTTCACATCGAAGAATCAAGAACTACCCGTCCCACCCACTAGGCAGGGACTAAAAGAACTTTCGTGGTGAAGGAAAAGCAGCCGAATGGGCCACCAATGGATAGGTTAACGCAAAGCTACAGGCTGTACCATGCATTTTAAACAATGTCGCTTTTTTTTGCTATTGTTCAAAATGATTTTAATTATTGGAACGCACGACTTTTAAAATATGCAAGTAAAGTTTTAAAACCCGGGGGAGAAAAAAAGGGCTGGGTGAGTTGGTTGACTCCGGAGAGCCGAAAATGTATCTGAGGAGGTGGCGGAGAGCAACTAGGGTGGGATTTCAAGCAAAGGATTTGGCCTCCAACAGGGCGAGACACTCTTCTTCTAAGCTTGGTGGCCAGGAGGAAAAAGATAGGTGCAGGGGTGGGAAGGGCAGGGATGGAGAGATGACCTGGAGTTTCTCAACAGAAGAAGGTCGGATGGGGGACGACCTAGAACACGGCTGAAGGCCAGTCAGCAGTAGGTGGGGATGGACAGGAGTGCGGGGAACAGCCGCGACACACACGGTGGAGGAGCGGGGTGTAGGGGTGTGAGTCTGGGCAGGGCACGAACATACTCACAGGGGATCGGAAGGCCCCGCGGCAACTTTTGGAGAGTCCGGGTTGGGTCCTGGAGAAGAATCCGAGAGAAGGCTGGTTGGGCCTGGAGTCGGCTCTGGGAGTTAAGGGATACTGTAGGGCGTGGGAGGAGGAGCAGTTGGGAAGCTGGAGTGACTAGAACCAGCTGTGCGGGTAGAGATAGACCTCAGGGATCAGGGCAGGGACACCCAAAGAAGGGGAGGTTCTGAGGGGTGGGGGCATGTCAGGACGACTGGATGGTTTCTCTGGACATGGTCAGTGGTTGAGGGGACGAGAAAGTCTGGGCCAGAGTTATGAAGAATCAGAAAGGAAGTGTTCGCATCTGTCTGCTCCTCTCCCACCTCCTAAGTCTTGGAGTCCCAGGCCTCCGTTTCGGCGGGCTCTGTAGCACCGGAGGGTCCAGGGCGAGCACCACAGAAAAGAACTATGGCGGTCAGA